TTTTGCTAATTAGTTCTTGTTTTGAAGTATATAGGTGTCACTAGCAATTTCCCTGGTTTATATTCTAGCACAGGATTCGATCTGCTTGGTGTTTTGGTAAAAGAATTTTTCATACAATTATTATTATATTCATATAAAATATTTTTTAATCTGATTTTGATAATTAATTAGGCTCGTGTCGTCTCAAGGTATATATATATTCGCAAAATTTTTTCTAATGATTATAATTGGACATAAGAAAATTGTTGATAATAATGCAATTACCGTACACTTTCAAATCATTTACAGAAAGGATCCACGAATAAATATTGGGCCTGTTGATATGAGCTGTTCATTTTTAGTAGGTATGTACACAAAGAGACGTGTGTATTATGCTCTTGTGGATTGTTGTTACAATATAATGTTGGTTTGTTATCGATCAAAAAAATTTATTGATATTTGTTTGCTGTAATTTAGTGGACGCTCGCAAATTTGATTTTCCAATCGTTTATGCAAGTTTTACATTCGAAAAATTAACTGGTTACTCAAATGCGGAAATCGTTGGAAGAAATTGCCGGTTCTTACAATCTCCCGATGGTCGTGTTCAACTTGGATCTAGACGTCGTTACACCGATAATAGTGCTGTATATCATATTAAAAGCCATATGGTAGTCGGTCAAGAATGTCAAGCCTCGATAATTAATTATAGAAAAGGAGGACAAGTAAGCTATAAATTTTTCTAATTTAATATTGAAGAAAAAAGATTATGATTATTTTTTTCTGATAATTTTTTTTTTTTTTTTTTTTTTTGAAAAATAAAAAGCCATTCATCAATTTGGTGACAGTGATTCCCATTGGTTGGGAATCTGATGAGATCGCTTATTTTGTTGGCTTTCAAGTGGTATGTGAAATTTGAAAAAAAAAATCTTACAAGTATGAATTGATAGAGATCAGGCCACACACCAATTGTTTCGTTTCTTTAATAATGATGATTATAATGAATTTTTTATGTATACGGGGGAGCCATTTGAGAAAATCAGTCAAATTATTTTGCAGATCTTTTTATCACATTGATATATCCCTAAGCTAAAAAGATTCTCTACATATAACTGCATCATTATCTCAAAAATGCCCCCCCAAAAAAAATAGACTAATTTTCTCATATGACTCCATGTATTTTTTTATCAATTCATTTAATTTATTAAAGATATGAATATATGTGTGTGTGTTTTGAGGCTAATGAATTTTCAAGATTTTTTCTCTATCAAATAGAATTTTATTTTTATATGATTAAATTTCCTTTGGTTTTTATTTTTATTTTTATCATTGGTTGATTCATTTCAATTATTTATTTATTATATAAAATCATTAGAGGACATATTAGAAAAATTTTTTTAATAATAGTTATAGCATGATTTTTTTTCTGTTTCGGTTTCCTTTCTTCACCATTTATTCTAATAACATTCATTCTAATTTTTTACTACTCCTCACCACATCTTTCATCATTCTCAATCATTCTCAAACTCTCAAACTCTCACTCACACTCTCACTCACACTCACACTAATATAAAACCCCCATCAAATCATTAAATTTCATCAAGCATAAAAAAAATATATATTTTTCAGAAAAAAAATAGCAGAATTGTAAAAAATAAAATTTTTTTTTGTTACCCTGCGCACATAATTACTTTATATAATTACACGTTCGCATTGTTTTAATCTTCTCTCCAATAATAATATTATAGTGTATATATATATCCTCCCTCTCACATATCTATATCTAATTTCTTCTAATTTCTCTCGGTTCTTTTTCTACAAGAAATTCTTATTCCCGTAAGTTAAATAATCGTTGTTTTTTTAAAAAATCACATTACGCGCTTTAATTATGATATTATACGCATATACTTTATTTCTACATTTAATTAAATAGAAAAGATTTTAAAATTTTTCTAAAAGATGACTTCTCCATATCTTGTTAATAACTTTCAAGGTAATAAAGCTTTTTTTTTTTTTTTTTTTTTGGTTTAATTATACGTACTCAAAAAGTTCTTGAATCACCCAATTCATTAATATTTAATTTTATATAGGTAATTCGCTAATAATAATAATTACTATTGTTATACTCGAGATAATCTTGACATCGGTCATACATAATCTTTTTATATATATCTGTTTATTTAAAAAGCAGAAAACATTTTGACTGGAGCCAATAACAATAATAACAGCAGCAATAGCATCACTCTTCTTCATCCGCCACTTCCACCTCCATCAATTCCATCAATCCCGATCTCTATTTCCTTAGCTTTATCTTTTATTACAGTAAGTTTATATCTTTTTTTTTTGGCTTAATTTTATGATCCGAATTTAATAACATTAATGAATGGATTTATTTCCAAATGTTAATAACAAATAATTCTTTTTATTCTTCATATTCTAACTCAATTCCTAATTATCACGACCATTGCCTTTATCATGTTCTTTCTTATTTAGAATAAGCGCAACGGCGTGTGTCTAATTTGTGGACTTTATATTCCACAATACGAATCAGTTAGATGCTCAGCTCTTGAATGCTTTGTAGTTGCCCGCTCCGGTATGTGCTATAATGATAATAAT